CGAATATTTTTGCTACGAAAGGAAGGTGGGACGATGTCGAAAGAGTTCGAACTTTGATGGCTCGTAAAGGTATTAAAAAGGAGCCAGGGTGTAGCTGGGTTGAGGCTAATGGTCAAGCTCATACATTTGTGGCTCATGATTGTTCACATCCACAAATTCAGGAAATACATGTAAAGCTAGAGGAGCTTGATAGAGAATTGACCTCTATAGGTTATGTGCCCGAAACTCGATACGTGCTTCATAACGTTGGAGAAACCGAAAAAAGGGAAAATCTTCGATATCATAGCGAAAGATTGGCCCTTGCTTTTGCACTTATAAGTACCAGCACGAAGAAAAAAATTCGTATACTGAAAAATCTACGTATTTGTGGAGATTGTCATGATGTCATGAAGCTTATATCGAGTATCACGAATCGGGAAATAGTTGTTCGTGATGTTCATAGATTTCACCATTTTAAGAATGGCGCTTGCTCGTGTAACGATTTTTGGTGATGTGGCTTCCCCATGGACATTATTGTTGAATTGATTTATTGTTTTGTGACAGACGAATCTGCTACTGAGCAACTGTGAAGACAGTGCTGTCATGTCACTTACAGAGATATTTGCTTAACGTAAAATTGTGCGGTCGACGCAACGACACAATAGGCTACTCGAGATATGACTGCAAAATGTCGACATGACTGTCGTAAAAGGTATAATGAAGCATGTCTAATTGGGATGAGAAATGGCCTTGTTCTTGAATCTCGGATGGACTTGGGTTCTCGTTACGACGAGGTTGTAAATTTTTCGGGCTGTATGGGACTTCACTGCAGCATAACTGCCATCAGGCATGGACTCAACCTCTGCAGTTTAGTATGATGGTACTTGTTTCCCGTTGCTAGCCTCGGGAATCTTGTCGAACCACGAAGACTAATGGCCAATCCGAACGTCTAATCCTCGCAATCAATATACCTCAGGTAATGATAATCTTGTATTTTATAGCTATCTATGGTAGTTTCAAAAAAATTGTCTGACGCTGAACATAGTTGTTATTTGTTTTTGTTCTTTTGAACAAAGTATTACATTCCACGGTTTTGGATATCGCATATCAATAATGTCTATCTGGAATATGGGTGCGTACTACTTGGATTAGTCTATAACAGGTAGCTATTAGATTTCTATGTAACATCAGATGTAAGATCCTACATCGATTGGAGAAGGAAACGAAACATTTATTGGAAGGGTGTGGAAACCGTGAGGCTGACGGCGATACATAACAGGTCAAAGTATAACAGGCCAAAGCAGATAATATTTACTTATGATGGGCTTGGGTTTGTTACATTAGATATAATTCTTGGATTCGAACTTTTGAACTTTTTGGTCGTATTCTATCCGAGTTGGATTTGGACGAACTTTTCGTACTCTGCTTAAATCTAAATGTAGAAATAGTTGTAGGAGACTTACAAGCTCGTATCTCAAGTGAGGTCGAGTTCGAGTACGAAGCTGAGTCAATGTATTTGTTAAATGGTAGATGAGACCTTAATTTGAATTTCATGGATTGTGTTCTCTTTCCATAATGATCATATATTATAGAACTTAATTCGAACGTTTAATCTTTTAGTTGAGAGTATGTCTTTTAATCAGTTAAGTTATGTTCTATAGGACTCATGCCTAGAATTCAGAATCCAGATTCGACCCATGGTGGCCCCGACATTCTCCCTCTGTGACATGGTCATGTTATTTACTCCTCACTTTTAAGAGTGAAGAATGTCCTCCACAAACCAACATGTTTTGTCTTTATTCACATGTATTCTAAGAAAAAATTTCGTATATCATTCAATCTAGAATTACTCCAAGCAAATCATGCTTAGCAATGGAGAGTTCCTATGATTGAGCCGTCACCAAAAAAATTTCACAAATATCTACAACGAATTACCATTAATATCTTTATCACTAAATATTCAAGTAAATGAGAATTATTTTAATGAATTGAAACCACAGAGAAATCTCGACGATATGATGACTAAGAAATGCTTACAAAAATTAATAATTACTAATATACTAAACTAACCGATATTGCACTTTCAGGTTCGTAACAACTCAAACTCACTATTAGCAGATATTATCAACTCTAATTTGTATCATTGTCAACCTCACAGTTTGTAAAACTCGTGCGTCTACTAGTGAGAGGTTTCCACACTCTTATAAGAAATGCTTCATTATTCTCTCTAACCGATGTAGAAACATGACTTGAGGAGAGTCGAATAGCCTTATAAATAGAGTGGCCGAATGATTCAATACCATATAAATTATGAAAAAATTTGCTCAAATATTTAAAACCCATAATTATTTTATAATTTTGACTTTTATAGTTTCCTTTCTTTAATATATAATAACTTTTAAGATTTAGAGAATCTTTATTCTATTATTTGAAAAAAAAAATCTAATAATTTCAAACCTTTATTCAAATAGTGTTTAATGAGAATTAAATATATTAATTAATTAATTAATAACAGAGAATAAAAATAAGTAGACATAAAATATTATTAATTTATATCAATTTAAACATAGCTCAACTATAATTTTTATAAAAATAATACTTTTACGACATATATCTAGTAACAAGTCACAAACTCAATCTCCTATAATTATGGACGTTTTTTTTTTAATATAAAACTTTTATTATATTAAAAGGTTAGACTTTACCCTAAAAATTAATATCCATATAGAATGGTTTAGCCTTCTTTGAAAATTTGGGTCTTCCCATTAAATTGAAATAAATTAATTTTGTAGCACAACCAAAACTCTTCAATGTGAAGCTACATGCATATCCCACCTTAAGATTATTATTAAACTTTTAGTTCAAATTTCAAATCTTTTTTAACTTAAGACACAAGTAAAAGAAAAGTATTTGAGTAAAGAACAACATATTGATCATATATTAAAAAATAAAATATGTTATTTTCTTTTATTTGATTGATGCAATTCCTATATTAGATCATTAATTACAAATAAAATATAACTAAATATTAAACTCTAATTTTTACAAAAATATTTATAAAAAATATATGTGAATTTTTTTAAATGGTAATAAATATTTATTTAATTCCATCCATTCATTTATATAAATATTTGTTTTTTAATATACAAAACTGGGTTTGGAGAGAGAAATCGTTGATGAAGACAGAACACCAAAAATATATGCATGTTTTTCTTGCAAGAATGCATGTCATTGTCAGAAATAATTAGAAAGAAAAATAATATTTAGAGTACAAAATTGCAAGGGGTATTTTGGTAAAAGACTTCTTTATGCATCGTGTTGACTCGAACGTGAAACTCTAATGCTATTTTTACTAAAAAATTTACACCTAGTTTTGCTATATGAACGTTTTTTTTGGTAATATATTCCAATTTCACGACCGTTTTGTTTTAAGGTCATTTTCGTAATTTTATTTATTGAAGAAAAGTAACGAGAATATACGTTAATTATTATATATTTTTGATAATATTTCCTCTCTTGTTACTAAAGAAAAAGAGCTGGAATTGTTAATTCTCAATATTTTTAAATAAACAAATAAATAAAGAGTCAAGGTTATATTTTTAGAAATAAAACATTCAAGATTGTTATGTCATATGCTTCAATATATTGATATTATATGATAAGTAGGCAAATTTTTATTGATATTCTAGAAGATTAAGGATACAAGAAACCTTTTCTATGTCTTTATTCCATGAAAATTTTCATTTATTTTTGTAAATATGCGAACGGCTATTATTAAATATATATACATATATATATATTTTTCCATTCAATTCTTACGAAAATTTTCATTTATTTTTGTAGATATTCGAACGGTCATTATTAAATATATATAAATTATTAATTTGTGTTATTGAAAATTGGGCAGAAATAGGGAATCTCCATCCTTACGAGACCACGACTAGACGAATTAAATAGATATCTCTACTTTGAAACAATTGTGTTACCAAAAAAAATTTAATTTCCTAAAAGTTATTTATTTATTTATTTTTATTTTATTTAATATTAAAAAAAACTTATGACACGTGTTAAATATAAAAATTCTTGAGGTAGACACGCACAATATTAACTTTATAAACAATTTATGTAACATAATTATTTTAATTAATATATACCATTTTAGTTGTTATAATTGCAATAATACACTATACACATTTAATATATGACCTAAATTATTGGTTTCGTCCTCTCCAACTTCTTTCAGGATGTGGTTGATCTTCCAACAACCATAACAATAGTAATTCATAGTTATTTATGACACAGTTTAGACGTGAATATTTATAATATCGCTTATACAAAAAGCTTTTAGAATTTAATTAATTATTTTTAATATAGACAAATAATTAACTATTTCTATCAATTTAAGTCTAGTTCAATTGATTAAATATTTACATTTAATCAAATTGGTTAGACGGTTAAAATTCTCGACCCGCTTATAGAAAATTTATATACATTCAACTACGAGTATCATAATTTATTCAATTATTACATCAAACTTAGACTTATTATTTAATTATAAGTCTCATACTATAACTTTCAATAATTTATGTATAACATGATTATTTTTTTCCGAATCTTCATAAATAAGAGTAAAATTTAATTGTTTTCTTTTTCTAATCCGTAAAATAGACCCATAAATTAAAAAAAAAAAAAAAAAAAACTTATAATAAATTTTAAATTTTAAATTTTATTCAATATTTTAAAAAATATTCATAAATTTTAAACTTTATTTTTTAATTTTTTGAATATGTTAAAAACCTGTTAAAGATTTATTAGAAATTTCAGAATAAAATATACTACAATTAACTCTATATACACACGTGAGTGTGTATATATATATATATATTATAATATTTTTTTACATTATTTAAAATGTCACCATATTATTGGACATGGAGATTAAAAAAATTGAATAATCAAATTCGTGTGTGTATATATATATATGTATATGTTTGATAAGAAGCAAACAAATTAAAGTTTTTAAGCCTCTCTCTCTCTCTCTAGCTTTTTTTCCTTCTCACCTTCTTCACCAACTATGAACCAAAGATTGGGAGCTTGATGATTTCACAGCCCCTGTGGAATTAATAATTGCGCCAAATCTTGTTCGTTCAGATGGGATGGTTCAGATCGCTCCTCGTTTCACCATTGAAGAAGCTCTGGGTTCGTCTGCACTCCCCTCATAGAAACCGTAACCATTCCATTCCATCATCATCATCATCTGTATTTTCTTTGGTCGGAATTATCACCGGCCGCCGTCTAACTCCGATGAAGTTTTGCTGTTTTTGGATGTAGGGAAAGGGATCTACATTTTGTATAAAGATGTCAAGTCTTGCCCTTGTGAAGATGTTCAGATGCTTTGGTCCATTCTCGTCGAGGCCGGCAGCTCCTCCTCTCACCCGCCATCGCCGCCGTGAACCCAGCTTTCCTCCGCTGTAAGGGATGGCGGTTCTTGTATAGCAGCACCACCACGCCACCAGTTTGGCGCATTTTGTAAAATCCCCCTGGTTTAATTTTGTGGGAATATACTTAATTTTGTGATTTACAATAAAAACTATAATGGGTTTTTCTATAAACCAATAATTTTGACTCTAAAAATATTTAGTTATTTATTAAAATCAAACCCAAATTTTAAAATAAAATAAAGAAATTCAAATGGATATTTAACAATGTATTTAATTTTTTTTTTCAAATTCGATTTTTTTAAAATAGTAATAATAATAATTACAAGAACATGAACATAAAATTTTAAAATAAAAAATTAATAAAGTGAATTGGTTGCTAAATGGATCTGAAGCCAGTACTTGTAATAGGCGAAAGGCTGACGTAGTGCCACGTGAAGGTAGAAATTACGGGTTATGAACTTCTTTTTGTGAAGACAAAGCAACGACAATATCCGAGATCTAAAAATATATTGATTTTACTTGTTTTATTTTGACTTTATACGTTAAAAATTATTCACTCTTTTAGGGTATAGCCCTAATATTCCCACTTATTCACGAGCGGTTGAAAAACATAGCCCTAAAAACCCTTTATCAAAATATTCAAAACTTTAGCCTTATCGTAATTATGGCTCTATACGATCAATATTCAATAATAACATATACATGTTCGAGCTAGTTTTATACCACACTTCCGTAAATATAGAATTTCAATAATTATATATTTATTTTATTAAAAAAAAGACACGAATTAACGTTAAAAAGGAACTAATAACCTTCAAAACGAGATTAAGTTTTTCATGTTTTTGATTTTCTACACCAATAAATAAAATTACTACTTTTAATATTAATTACAAACCTAAATATAATTTGGCAGACACAATATTTATTATATTGGTTGTCTAAGGTTGAAGGTTAAATTTTTTAAAAAATGTTAATCTTTTCAAAATTTATTTAAATTAATTTTAAAGTATATTTGTTGGTAGAAAAATACTATAAATTAAAATTAGAAGACATTAGCTAACAAAAAATAAAATAAAAAAAATAAAAAAAATAAAAAACCCTAATTGGATTCTCTTCCCCCAATTTGATGGGTATACGTATAATTTTTAATTTGGAAATACTTTGTGGAGGGAAAATTAGAAATCGTAAATGCAAAATGACGATTCTAGCCCTCTTTAGCTCGAGTAATTACGTACGAACCTACCCTCTATGAACTGATTTTAATAGAAAGCCACCCAACGACTCTACCCTTCTTCTGTAGATTAAACCCGTCTTCTTTCTTTCTACTCTTAAACCAAAAATAACAAAATCAATTTTTTTCATTCCGAAATATGCAGAGTTTTGTCACCGAATCACGCTGCTGTTGACCTCAATAGCGTTGTTCAACTCCCACGATTCTGTAATTTCTCGGAATTTGCTGCATTGGAAGGATGTTCTTCGGTGTCGGCATGGCCGGGGTTTGATCTGGTTTTTTTTCTTTTTCTGCAATTTTTGTGTTTTTTCTTGTTTTTATGTGCTTCTTTGATTCAGCGTTGGATTATTTTGCTGTCTGCGGTTTTGGTTGCGGTGGGAGGAGGAGTGGAATTTGTGTTGTTCTTCGTTGTTTTGTTATGAGTGTCGTGTGGCGGGAATTTTGGTTAGGTTCAGGGGGTTCTGTTTGAGCATTTTGGAAATTTTGGTTGTTCGTGGGGGTATGGAGGAGGAGCTGAGTGCTGAGAAATTGTTGAGGAAGGCGAAGGAGGAAGATATTGATTTTGATCTTGACCGAGTTCTGGATGGGGAGGGGAACGAAGTGTTGCAGAATCTTCATATAGATGGGGCGGAAAATCTGCATTCGGTTTCAATCAGCTGTGATTGTGAGAGAGAATTGTTGGAGTTGGAAATCCAGAAGGGATATGAGGCGAGAGTGGAGGAAGTCATGGTGGATGTGTTTAAGGGTAGTGGGGAAAATGCTGAAGTGGAAATAAGGAGTAGCAAAAGGAGGAAGGTGGATGATGACCACATTGAAGGTGGAGATAAAAAGGTAGTGGAGAAAGTGAAAATAAAACTTATGGCTGATAAACTGCGGGGTAGTGATCGAGTTTTACGGTCAAGTTTTGCAGCAAAGATAGAGTGTGATAGTGTAGCTGATAGTGACGGGAATAATAGGACTATGGTGGTGCAGAATTGTAGGAGCAGTAGGTATGGCAAGACATTAGAGAAGTTGGAGAAGGGAAGTGAAGATCAATTGCTCTCTGGAGATCAGGAGGTAAAAAGAAAGCGTGGGAGACCGCCGAAGGTGGAAAAGGAAGCTGAGGAAGTAGTTGTTAGCCCTATGATGACCTTGAAACGGAAGCCTGGAAGACCACCCAAGTTGGAGAGTGAAAACAACCATCGAGTTGTCTGCGAGTCGAGGAAGTTAAAAAAGAAGCGTGGAAGGCCACCCAAGGCTGAAAAGGAAAATGACAATCCGTTGCTTCCACCAAAGTTGGAGAGTGAAAATAACCATCAACTTGTCTATGAGTCGAAGAAGTTAAAAAAGAAGCGTGGAAGACCACCCAAGATCGAAAAGGAAAATGAAAATCCATTGTTTCCACCCAATTTGGAGTGTAAAAACAACCATCAACTTGTCTGTGAGTCGAAGAAGTTAAAAAAGAAGCGTGGAAGGCCACCCAAGACTGAAAAGGAAACTGACCATCCATTGTTTGGTGAATTGAATAACTTAAAACCCAGGCGTGGAAGACCACCAAAGTTGCAACAAAGCAATGGAGCTCTGAAGGATGAACACTCTAAGGGAAGAAAAGATAGGCTGGCAAGAAAATTAAGTATGAAGTTGAGATACGGGGTAAAGACTAATGTTCCAACTTATTGTTTATCCTCATATAAGAGGCATATTAGGAAAGAAATACACATGAAAAAATCTATACCGGTTGGAAATGATTTATCTCAGGAAATTTTGATGCCAGAAGTAGCACTGACAGCGAGTTCAAAGGTAATTACTTGCGGTGACAAGATTAAGGAAGTGAAGAAAGTAGAAAAGCCCAAGATCGATGTAGATGAATACAAGAGGTCAGTAGCAAAGAATTTATTGAGAGAGAGGATTACTGAAATATTAAAAACTGCTGGTTGGACAGTTCAGTATAGGCCTCGATGCAAACGGGAGTACAAGGATGCAGTTTATGTAAGTCCGGAGGGACGAACTCACTGGTCAATCACCTTGGCTTATAATGTGCTTAAAAGGCACTATGAAATAGGTGACGGTGATTCCAAAGTTTATAGGACTGGTTTTACATTTACTCCAATACCGGAGGAAGAAATCATGACACTAACAAGGGTTACAAGAGCTAGGAAGATTGGAGAATTGAAGAATCGAAGGAGAAATGAAAAATTAAAAAAGCTCATTGAAAGGACAAAGTGTAAAGAGAAAGCAAAATCTTCAAGAAGTCCAGTTTCCAAGTCAATTAAGAAGAGGAAAAAAGATATGTCGCATCATGACCTTGATAATTCAGGCCAGAACCTAGAAAAGGTGTTTCCTCGGACACAAAATAGTAAGCGATGTGCTTTATTGGTTCGAAATACAGAGGAAACTGCCAATTCTTGCAATGATGGGTATTTTCTATATAAAGGGAAGCGGACACTACTTGCGTGGATGATAGATTTGGGGGTTTTGTCACTTGATGAGAAGGTAAAGTACATGAACCAAAGAAAGACACGGGTGAAGCTTGAGGGTAGGCTTACAAGAGATGGAATTCTTTGCAACTGCTGTGATGAAGTTTTTACAATTTCAAAATTTGAAATGCATGCCGGAGGCAGAGTTGGTCAGCCACTTGAAAATATATATGTACATACTGGTTCTTCCCTCCTCCAATGCCTGTTGGAATCATGGAATAAACAAAATGAACTACAGTATAAAGGGTACAATTTTGTTGATGTTGATGTCGAAGATCCTAATGATGATACTTGTGGAATTTGTGGAGATGGTGGAGACTTGATTTGTTGTGATAGTTGTCCATCTACATTTCATCAAAGTTGCTTGGATATTAAGGTAAGTGTTCATCATAATATTGGTATGTGTGAGTTACATTCAAATGCAATCAAGTGATCTTTTGGATCATGCCCTTCCTCCGGGCTACCCTAACTCTGTTTAAGTTAAAACTTTCATTTTGGTTGTACAACTAAACTATACATTCATGTGTAAGCCGTTAATATGTTGAGGTACTCCTGTCTAGTCTTTTCTACATAAAGAATTTGGATGTCTGGATGAGTTTTCAGTCTTGCATATTGCATCAATTACGAGTGATTGTTTAGTGAAAGTCTTTTAAACTATTTGGGACATGATTTTTTTTTTTTAACACATGTTGTCGAGGCATTGAGTTTCTAACTGTTTTGTTTAACTTTCAGAAGTTTCCTTCTGGTCCCTGGCACTGTTTGTATTGTTCATGCAAATCATGTGGACAAGTCACGATGGGGTTATGTCCAAGGGATGATCATCATGAGGCAGCTGCAGCTGTGTTATGTAAATGCCATCTCTGTGAGGAAAAATGTAATGAATATTACATCTCTTTTTCCTGTAGATTCTTCGCTTTTATTCTTTTGTAACGTTTATGTTGTTACATTACTTTTTCTTCAGCTGCATTTCTTCTTGTTAAAACCATATTATCACTGCTATAATTGCCATAGGAAGATAACATCAGAGCGTCATCATTTTAGTCATTCATTGCAAATGTTATTTTCAGATCATCCCATATGTGTTCAGACAAACGACGCTTCTGGTGATGACGTGAATAACCCATTGTTTTGCGGGAAGAAATGTCAAATGGTAATATTTCAATTATTTGTTATAATAATCAGACTTGGAAATATCCAACTTTCTTATGAGTTCATAGTTTGGAATTGATGTTTATCCCTGACAATATGATACTGAAAAACCTCTGGTAATCTTAATTTGGGTGAAGTGGCTATGCTATTCTTTCCTTTCAAATAAATAACCCCCCCTTTCGTTTCCCCTGAGAATGTTTTTCTTAACCTGATGGCATTCTCACTTAGTTGGACCATATGATGTTGTTGTTCCAGCTACATGAAAGGCTTCAAATGCTTCTTGGGGTCAAGCAGGATATGGAAGAAGGATTTTCATGGACTCTTATTCGTAGAAGTGATGTTGGCTCAGATGTTAGTCTCTGCAGTGAAGTAGCTCAGAAGATTAAATGTAATTCCGAGCTTGCAGTTGCCTTGTTTGTGATGGATGAGTGCTTTTTACCTATCATTGACCACAGAAGTGGCATTAATTTGCTTCATAACATTCTCTATAATTGTGGGTAAGTACGTTTCAACACTGAGTAGCTACTTGATTTTTTCGTCTGCATACAAAATATGCTCTAAAGGTCACGAGGGATTGTCTATTGGGGAGGAGTGCATGAAGACAAATAAGAGCATAATATTTACGACTGGAATGTCTTACGTGGGTAGGACCTTAATTTTGTCAGCTTAAGGCATCTATCCTTCATTAGAGAAGTTGTCATTTTTTCTTCTTCCATTATGACACATATGGATGTAAGTATGGTGAAATGAGGCAAAATGTCTGGCTTCAAAAGCATTGATAATGGCCTGTAAAATTTCCATATGTAAAATAAATTTAAGTCCAATCACTCTTGTTTTTGGACATGTATTTTAGCCTCTGAATACCTACAATTTTCTTCAACTTCTGTGATTTCTGTACTAATTACTAAAGCAACGCGTGTGCTTAAAAGTGCTAAATTCCTTTTCCAGGTCAAATTTTACTCGTCTAAATTTTAGTGGCTTTTACACAGCAATTCTTGAAAAGGATGATGAGATTATATGTGCCGCATCCTTAAGGTACGTGTCTTGTTTTTCATGGGGCTTAAATCCCATTTGAATTCATTGCAAACACTATTGAATTTATCTTATACTGTTGGAATATTTATTTGATTTTGGTAAAGAAATGACTATATTAAAAAAAAATGACAATCTAGTGACTTGGTAGATTATTTCCGCTGGACAATAAATTGTAATCCGAAGAACAACCAAAGTAAGCCGGCAAATAAGGTTAGAAAATTGCTAACTTCTGAAAGAATGTTGTACTAAAAGTTTCCATTTACATCTGAACTTATTAATCATTAGTTACAATTGAGAAGATCATCACAAAAATTAAGAGAAATCGAGGCTTAGAAGGAAATATTAAAATGTGCAATGTTCAAATCTTTACTTCGTAGAACAATTCTTAAATGGCCTCTTATCTTGTTCCAAACTAATGCTTTAGTTCATATATGGGGGGGGCTCCTTGCAGTTTAATGAACCTTTCTCCTGGTCCAAGCAAAAATTTAATAAGCATCTCCTCTAACAAATTCCCACTCTATTTGGCAGATAGCTAAGAACTCTGTAGGAAATGCTACGAAGATTGTTAGTGAACCAATATGTCGCGTCAGTCCATTGTGGCCTCCTTATAGAGGATGTATGTCTCATTGAGGATGAAGGCACTGGTAAATAAATAACCCTCTCTAATGCCACAAGCTAAATTATAAATAAAAAAAATTAAAAAAAAAAACCATCTTACATTAAATTAAGACGTGATACGGTTTTATTAGCTGTTGCAGTATACCCCCCACAGATATCACCTATTGTCTTCCGTGTTTCTCTGTTCCTTAATTTTAATCCAGCCCTCATAAGAGGGCATTACCATGTCCCTTTTGGGCAGCTGTTGACTCCAAGGTGAACTACAGATAGAAAGATCCATCCTTATGCCACACTTTGATTTTCTAGTCTATCCATTTCAGCTAGAACACCTTTCCTATATGTAGTTTTCTCAACCCAGATGGATTGTTTCTCCATCGAGACTCTTTGAAGTATTTCTGGTTTAATGGCACATGTTGAAGATCTGTTTGGTTTTGGGTGCTTTTCTACCCAAAGGCCTGGCTTTTTCCAGTGCCTTGGATGCTCTGTATACAGAGCTTTCACCGTCCTCTAGAATTTTCTCAATCTGGTTTTATTATTTAATACATGCTACATTATCGGGTATTTTTTATTTACTCCCTTGAATTTATTAAACACTAACATTGAAATTCTTTCCTGATTGATGAAAATAGGATCCATGGAAATGAATTAGCAGAGATGCCATTCATTGGAACTCGTTATATGTATAGGCGTCAGGGAATGTGCCGTCGCTTTCTTGGTGTGATTGAATCGGTAGGTCATAAATTGTGTCTTATTGTATCTTCCTGTTATTGTGTATTGTGTGTTGTCCAATAAATTACTACTGTTGATCGATCTTCTAGATTTCAGTTGGTTGTTCTGTGTTTTTCATATCATTGTGCTATTTGATTTACTGATACATGCCTGTTTTTCTTCCGTTACCCTATTCTCTGTCAGGCTTTGTCCTCTCTTAATGTGGAAAAGTTGGTCATTCCCGCAATATCTGAACTAAGAGATACATGGACTTATGTCTTCGGTTTCAAGCCCCTTGAAGAGACTAGCAAGCGAAGGATGAGGAAAATGAGTTTGTTGGTCTTTCCTGGTGTAGAAATGCTGCAGAAACCGCTATTGAAGGATCATCTTCCGATGGAGTGTACACCTCTTGCAGAAGGTATCTATCTATTAGGGATTGTGCTCATTGTGCACTCATCACGTTCATATGGATCAAATAATTTATTTTTCATTCATGTAGGTTCCAAGTCTCCTCAACTTGCAGAACCACAAATCCTGGAGGTCGTTGCAACCTGTCCTGAAGAGAGACATTTGCCTGGTCCTTGTGTAAATTCATGCAGCGAGGACACTGCAAGTGATGGATTTGGGATTTCTGGTGAACCTGGAGTTGTTGAATCCAGTGTTATACGAAATGATAAAATTTTGAATGATGATATAGATGATACTTCTGACGATGTCGAAGCCCATAATGCAGATGTTATCGACAGTACTTTGGGTGAAAGGAACCAAAAGTTTGAGAACTCAATGTGCTCTACATGCCTGACATGTGAGGAAGCTAAAGAGGCTGGCCAATACCAAAAGACTCTTGGTTCTACCATTTCAGACCCTGAAGACCGGACATCGGAACTAAATGGAGAATTGGATGGAAGCTCAGCAATTGAATCGAAGTCCTGCCTGGAATTTCCCAAAGGTACTGAGAGTATTGATGGCCAGGCGACTGCAGAAATTTGTATTCCTAGTGACAAACTTGAGTCTACTCACGACGAGCATGTAAATCAGTCGGAGCCAATCAGCTCTAGTAACCCGCAAAAGATTGCTTCAGTACATGATGGACAGACGGTTCTCTTTAATTCAGAAACTGCAAATGGTTGTGATGCCACTTTACATATGGACGAGAAAACTAGTTCTCCCTCTGATGGTGATAGGCTTAAAGTTTCTTCTAATTGCCTCCAATGGAGGACGTGATGTAGGCAGGTGATGTAGGCAGGTGACCTGGGTCACTGGGATTTCAACAATTACTTAGGAGGACAATTCTGAACAGAAATAAGTGACGACTGGAGCTTAGTCTAATCTCCACCTCTGAAGCAGAATTAGTTCCTTAGAGAATTCAAATAAATAGTTATCCGAATCAACAGGTGTTGGTGCACAGATTAACACATGCCACACTGTATAATAGATTACTAAAACTTTGCTTCTGCTTTGGCTTTTCTTCGCGCCATTGCACAGCTGAAGGTAGTTTTGTCGCAGTAACGCTCAGGTATGACTCTGTCGAACCAAGCTACTTATATCCTTTTAGTCTCAAACAGATGCGTCTTCAGTGGCTATGGCTAGAGTGCTGCAGAACTCTTTTTTGTTGGTCTTACTAACCAATTGTGCCATTTTTTGGGATGGATGATGTCCCCCGCCCCCCTGAT